CAACCCCAGCAGCCCAACTACCCTTTCACCACGCTTCCCCCACCAGTCGCTCCCACCACCATCCCCGAGAGCCCTTTCTTCCCGGAGTTACCTTCTCCGCCGCTACCGCCGCCTCCGCCGAGCTCCGCCACCGCGTTTGCCACCTTTCCGGCGAACATCTCCTCCCTCGTCCTCCCTTCCTCCCCCCGCCCCTCCCACAAGCCCACCAAGCTCATTTCCCTCATTGTTGCCGTCTCCTTCTTTTCCGTCCTCGTTTTCACCTCTGTAGTCCTCCTCCTCCTCCGCCACCGCCGCCACCACTACCACGGGGACAAGTCCCTCAAAAGCGACAGCCTCCGCCTTTTCCCTCCCAACACCACCCCTAGCGACACCAGTGTCACCACCACCGGCGCCCCCGTCACCATCGACGCCAGCAAGAAGCCGCCGCCGCAGCTGTTCCCCCGTCACGCCCCTTCCTCCACCTCGTCGGAGTTCCTCTACCTCGGGACCCTCGTCAGCTCGCGGGACCCGGAGAACTACGCGGCCCCAAGCGCCGGACAAAATGACGGAAAAGCCCCTGCACCGCCGCCTAGCAACTACCAGAGGCTCGGCTCGCCGGAGCTCCAGCCGCTTCCGCCTCTGCCGCGCCAGCACTCTGGGCAAATTTACCATAATACCCCCCACGCCGAGGGAGAAGAAGAAAACAGCAACGCGGATGACGGAGATGAAATGTTTTTCTCACCCAGAGGGTCCACCGCAAACAACACTAGTCCCTTCCGCACCAGATCCTCCACACCTCCAAACAACACCGGCAGCCGCTTCCACAAAACCGAAAACCTAAATCCATTCTCCTGCAACTCTCCGGTGTACTCCATCTCGCCGGATAATAGCCCATCGGTCGCCCTCAATTCCGAAAGCCCGCAAAGCATGCTTACAAAATCTCCAGACAGCTCGGTGGTTTTCCCAGCCCCATTGCCGCGCTTCATCCCTCCTCCGCCAGTTAGGCAGCCAAGGGCATTCTCGACATTTTCACCCTCCTCGACCGACGACTGCGCGACTCGTGACTGCTCTCCCCGGGCCTCAGACTTCTCCAGCATTATGAAAGTAACCCCTTCTCCGCCTCCGCCTCCACCTCCGCCGCCACCTGTGGCGGTACCACCCACCGGCCCGCCGGAGCTGGTTGCGCCTTCAAGAAAAGTTGTTTTGAAAAACTTGAGCGGGGAGAAGGCTAGTTTTGGAAATTTGGAAAGTAAATCAGAGGAAATGATGAAACCTAAGCTGAAGCCTCTGCATTGGGATAAAGTGAGAGCTAGTTCAGATAAATCAATGGTGTGGGATCAGCTTAAATCCAGTTCTTTTCAGTGAGATTCTTGATCTTTCTATCCTTTATATTTCTGATGTTTTTGCATAAAATTCTTTGCCTCCGTACAAGTACATTACGATTTTCTACTGCAACTTATCGCCATTTAGTTTCGGGCATTCATGTTCTCAGTTAATTTTTCTTTCTTGCATCTAAAATTCTTGGGGTGTCTACTTTGGTTATAGGTTGAATGAGGAAATGATTGAGACTCTATTCACGGCCAATGCTTCTACTATGAATGCAAAAGATGGCCTGAGGCGCCAGACGATGCCAGAAATGAATCAAGAAAATCTTGTTCTTGATCCAAAAAAGTCCCAGAACATTGCTATACTGTTAAGGGCTCTTAATGTCACTGTCCACGAAGTTTGCGAGGCAATCTTAGAAGGTGAGAACAAATTCCAGTATATTCTTTTCGAAACGTGTAAAAGGAATTTAACGATTGGGACTCGGCGACTTTTTAATTGTCTGTACGCTCGTTAGTCTGGTATGGTTTTTCATTAAACATTTTATTTAGTATGAAGCAAATTTAACGATATAGCGGTTTTTCCCTACGCCTACTTCCAATGTTAGTGTTGTCGTGCCAAACCAAACTCATTCTTGTTGCTAGTCAATTTGCTGGAAAGAAAAAAATCTCTTTTCTGTTTCGAAGCCTTATATTTGTTGGAACCTTAAAATTATTGTTTGAATTCTTTTTCGCATCTGAAGCTTATGGTTTTAATACATCACTGTTAAAAAGCAATCTGGGTAGACATGTCAAAGTCATTTTTAGAGCTCAGTATTAATTGTCTCCATTCTGTATGTTCTGTCTCTTTTATCTGCCTTTTTTTGGTCTTGTGAAAGGAAAGTTGTTGGTCATTCTCTCCAGAAATAATTCACAAGACAGTATGAAAATTTAATATCTACACCAAATAGCATTTAGTGTGGATATGTATATATTATCTTGACTCAAACAATTAACCTTAAATCGAAATGTATACATTATGAAATGCCTGTTATAGAAAAGTTCTAAAATCTGCTGATCTCTTTTGAAAAAGGAAATGCCGACACACTGAGCTCCGAGCTTCTCGAGAGCTTATTGAAAATGGCCCCCACAGCAGAGGAGGAACGAAAGCTGATGGAGTTAAATAACGAGTCACCACTCAAGCTGGGAACTGCCGAGGCATTTCTAAAGGCGGTGCTCAGTATACCGTTTGCATTCAAGAGAGTAGATGCCATGCTTTATGTGGCCAATTTCGAGCCAGAGGTCGAACATCTTAAGAGATCATTTGACACGCTAGAGGTAAAATCCTAGGCTAACAATGTTGAACTAGTTCCAAGTGCTTTTATTTTGAGATATCACCTGACATTGTTAAAATGATTTGTTCCCACTGTTTTTCGAGCTGCAGTTGGCTTGCAAAGAACTAAAGAGCAGTCGGATGTTCATGAAGCTTCTAGAAGCTGTCCTCAAGACCGGGAACCGTATGAACACTGGCACCAATCGAGGGGATGCCCAAGCCTTCAAGCTCGACACACTCCTCAAGCTGGCTGATGTCAAGGGTGCCGATGGTAAAACCACTCTTCTCCATTTCGTGGTCCAAGAGATCATCCATGCCGAGGGGGCCCGCTCGTCCGGAACCGCCCTTCAAAACGAGAAAAGTCAACAACAGTCAACTCTTCGGGACGAGGTCGAGCTCAAAAAGATAGGCCTCCAGGTCGTGTCCAGCCTCAGTGGCGAGCTGACCAATGTGAAAAAGGCCGCCGGGATCGACTTAGATTCGCTCAGGAAAGACATTGAGAAGTTGGCCTCCGGAATTCACAAGGTTAGAGAAGCTCTTGAGTTAATGGGCGGGAAATTCTCGGAGAATATGACTGAGTTTGTGAAGAAGGCAGAGGTGGAAATCGGGAATGTGCAGACGAAGGAGAGCGTGGCTTTTTCGATGGTCAAGGGTTTGACCGAGTATTTCCATGGGGACTCGGGTAATTTGGAGGCTCGGCCACTGAGGCTGTTTATGGTTGTTCGTGACTTTCTGGTTATTCTCGACCGAGTGTGTAAGGATGCAGGAAGGATTAACGAGCGGGCCAGGGTGAATTCCGGCCAGCAGGTTCTTCAGGGGCAGGCAAATGCGGTGGGCCCAAATGCTCCAGTGTTTCCCGGGTTTAGCGAGGGTCGGCAATCGAGCTCGTCGGACGATGAGAGCTCGTGTTCGTTTTAGCCAAGTGGGGTACTGTATTAAGAAGTGATCATCAAACTATGTGGTGTAAAAATATTTATGATGCTATTAGTTTTTGTACCAAACGAGGTTAAGTAGAGGATTTTGTGATGAAGGATATTATTATGTATGTAATGTAGTAATTTGATGTGGCTTAATTTGTTCATAAGGAAACAGTCTATTAGTGTTCCATCAGTCAAAACTAGCTTGCAAAACAAATCCTTCAATTGGCATTTGAAAGTCATCACTCTACATGTTTGAGTGTCGAAAATTCTGTGAGCCTGCTCGAAAATTTGGTCAAATCCATTGAGATTACACTATGCAAATTGCAAATGAACTTGACTTCAAAACAAGCCTTCAATGCCTACATCTAGCTAATGTGGTAAGCGTATAAAGAACTGGAAGTTTCTACGACTTCTCAGCATCAATACGTTCGATAACTCGTCTGGCTTCCTCCTCAGTTGCAGGGACGACATTCCAAATCTTCTGACCGTTTTTAAGGGCATTTGAGTTGATGGTGAATGTGAAGTAGAACTTATTCGATACCTTGAAATATTGACAAGCACAACAAGGATCACTATAAAATAACTCAAGAAAGTGAATCATAGGATTCTAATGCTAAAATTTTGCAATATATTCGTGAGCGTTGAATAACAAATCTCCACCAGGTTTTGCCTGGTTTTTAGAGGGGAAGTGTTATGTACTACATTTGCAAAATTTCTTGTTAGTTACAATTAAGAGAAAACCATGTTACTAATATTAATTATCAGCTCTGAAGTAAAATGCAAATATTGGAATTGGTATCATTTGAGAATGCACTGGTCACATATTAGCAGCACAACAAATCAGAAAAGCAAACAAAAGGAACAATTCACTGACCTCACTAGATCGTTGTTCAGGCCTCATAACGTGAGCCACAACTTCCACATTAATCATCGGTTGTGCTGGATTCTCAAGTTCCGTAAACAACACACAAGAATTGAAACGTAGAAAGTTCCCAACATCAACCTGTATCACAATATATATATAAATCAATAAACAAAATCAGGTTCTCTCTCATAACAATTCGAGTGAAAATGATCAGTAGCAACTCCATAAATAGTAACTGAACATGATGAGTGCTAATGGAACACAAAACACATCTGAAAATGCGTTACTCGTAAAGCGTACATCTCTCCTTCTCCTACAGCTTAGGCCAATGTTCAAGGACTTGTCCCATAAATAACAAAAACATGAAATGGCAATCAATTTCACCGACTTGATAAACAGAAGCATTAGATGTCTTTTTTGGTCCTTGTAAATATAATTATAACCATCTTTTTATTTTTGTAAAAACAAACTAGGAATCAGTATAGCTATTGACCAGCAAAAAGAAACTGGGAATCAGTATAACTATTGACCGCAAGAAAAAAATGTAAATCATTTACTGACCGGTTTAAGGAAATCTACATGATCAACTTCCAGAAAGCAAGGCGCACTGCCAGAAAACGAGTAAGCAGTTGCAAAGGCTAGCTCGAAAGCTCTTCTCATTAAAAACCCTCCGAAAATCCTACCATGGATGTTCCTTTGCTGTGGCTGGCACATAAGAGAGTTTTGAAGGCAAGTATCCTTTATAAGAATACTATCTTTGTCTGCTAAAGCCGGCATGTCGCAAAAAACTCGGCCTTCAGACAGCAAGTCGTTGAGCCTCTTCAATTCCTCGTCGCTAATTTCTTTCTTCTGTTGCCCTTTCTTCTTTTTCCTGGATTTGTTCCTTTGTTCAGCCTCCTCACAAAGCAATTTTTCCTTTTCTGTTTCGGGAGAGATTTGGTTAATCATAGTTGACTTTCCAGTCTTGGAATCACGGGCCACAAAGGTGAAGTTTGCTGTGAGAGCAAGTGCATCTGAGGGATCCGATGATTCTGCAATAAACGGAATTATGTTGATAATAATGTGAAAGCCAAAACAACAAATTAGAAGGAAACAGAAAACTTAACATTTCGGAAATGCTTCTAACCATTCTATATTGGGAAATATCATACATTTGTAAGAGAAAAGAAGCATCAAATCAAAACTTAAGATTTATGAGATGCTTCTAACCATTGTATATTGGGAAATATCATACATTTATAAGAGAAAAGAAGCATCAAATCCTAGTTTGCATATATATATATATATATACATACAGTTCTGTCTCTTCATATAATTGGGGGTGGTTTACGATCCTCCTTGTAGTTTCGTTCTTTATCCAAAATTTTAGAATAAGATAGGAAATTTAAGCACTGATGGCACCATAAGTATCTTTAATGTAACAATATACTGCATAAACTGAAAAG